GAAAACTTCTGGCTCTGCACAGCTCACAGGTTGATCCTATGATCCACCAGCTTCTAGTCCCTTCCAAGCACAAATTAACTTCAGTTCCACTGTGGAGTCTGCTTGTTCACCTCCAGGGTAAACAAGTTGTTACAGCAAACAATACTCCTTTGCTTTTGTAGAGCAGTCAGACCTGCTGCTATTTCAGAATTACAGAAAACATCCAGCTGAAAAACACAGAAATATACACAAAGAACAAAGCTTCTCCTTGCCTGCAGAGGACAAGAATGGAGCCAAAGCCCTTTCACACTTCACTTGAAAAATACCTCCCAATCTCTCCTATTAGATCATCACTTGGTTATAATCATCTCACACTCAGACACTAACCAAACCCAACATAGTCTGCCTGTGGCATGACTTCAGCACAGCCACTTCAAAACAGTGATTGTCCAAAATTAACAAGCAGAATAACCCCCCTAAATCACAATTTTAACATATCAATCACATGACAACTGCCAGTCTAATTTTACTAAGCCCCATCACATTCACTAATCAAATCTAAAGAAAAAACACAAAACACAGTGAAAGTTTTTATTCCTTTATTGATAAATGCTTTCCAGACTTTCCAAACTGGATTGTTCAGTTAAAACCAAAACCACAAAATACTTTCAAGCTAAAATCCATAACGTCCTCCTCAGAAGACACAACGTGCAGCTCTGTTCTGACCCACAAAGGAAAAGCTTGCAAGCCCAATTCCAGTTTTGGAAATCTAGAGCTGGCTTTTTTAAATAAGATCTTACAGATTAATTTACAAAATGCAATATAACTATATGATATGATGCATGGCATTGATATCTGCAGGACAGTGAAGAATCTTCAAACATCTTGAGCTGATGTCTATGAAGGGGCTATTTGGCTTCTTTGCATCCTGTAGAGGAAGAGAGGAAGACACGTTACCCCACAGAGCACACCTTGCTCCAAGCCAGTCAGCTCACCAACATCACAGGCCATAAGGACTCCAACACAAGCAGCAAGGTACAGAGAAGCTGCTAACTGTTGTAGATAATACCAATTTCTGATCATCTCACAAACTCCAGCTCTTTAGCAGAGAAGCCAGTGACTGGAGCCACTGAGAAATGGATGGATGAAAACACAGCCTCCCTTCACCATTCTGAGTTGTCACCTGACCACAACAGCTTCACAAGAGGTACTGAAGACATCAACCCCAGACAACCCACAGAAAAATGGATCATCAAAAGCAAAGAGGCATTCAAAGAATCAAAAACCTTACTCAAGTTCAACAAGAGCCAGCTCCAAGCACAGGACAAGACCAATGGCAAGCCTGGACAGACCTATGCAGTGAAGTGACATTCCTGACACCAGCACTGTTAAGATATACTGTAGGCACATAATTGCCAGGATCAGGAATGGGCTTTAACAGCCTATTTAGCCTCAAAGTCACTGGAACATCTTGTTTGTCTCATTTCCCAGATTAGCAGTTTCACAAGACTCATCTCAATGCATTATTCCTTCCTTGACATGTTAACTACTATGAACACTTCAGGGACTTATGCAGCATCTTTCTGATGTTTAATTAAAGCAAGATTTCAGAAGAATATTTCTGAAACTTCTACAATAAGGATTCTACTGGAATAAACTTAATTAGGAGTGTTTTTTGTTGTGAAGAGCAGACTTAAAAAAAAAAAAAATCAGACAAGAGCTGTACATGGACCCACATGGGCCTCCAGACTGGCAGCACTCAGTAGCCACCAGCCTTTATTTATTCACTCCAGTTCTGGAGGTTTTTAACTTAAGGAACAAGACACTCACCAGTCTTCCTGGGTTTAAGAGGTAGCAGCAACCACGCCCACCTTCTGGGCAGCTTCTTTCTTGGCTTGGTGAGCCTGCAACACTGCAACGGCCTCCTCCACCTCAAGGAGACAAGTTATCTGGTGAGACCTGCTCTCCTGACCAAGGTCTCCCACCATCCAGCCCATCTAAAGGAACAAACCAGTCTACCTTGGACCGGAGGGACTCGGGAGACTCGAGCATGTGCAGCAGCTCTGAGTTGTCAATCTCTAGCAGCATTCCTGTGATCTTCCCTGCAAGGCTGGGGTGCATAGCTTGAATCAGAGGGAACAAACGTTCTCCTGGGAAAAAAAAAAAAAGAGTTCAGACTGCTGAGTTTCAATTAAAAAGTGTCTTTGAAAACTGAGGGGATTTCCAAAGTAAAATGGAATCTGTAAGAACCAGAGCTGCACTTACCCAGCATCTGTTTCTGCTCCTGGGGAGGGGCAGCAGCCAGCATGGAGGCTGTCAGTGGTTCCTGCCCCTGCACGTGTACCGCAGGCTGAGGTGCCTACAGAAGGTTACAGACAATAGTCAGATATTCCTTCCTTCTAAAAAACACAAATCTTTGTCAAGCCTGCAGCAGATGAGTTTCAGAAAAGGACAGACTGGATGCTGTTGGTTCACAAACAGCCTCCCACCAAGTCCTGAACTCAAAACCCCCTGATGTCACACACTGGCACTGGAAATATCTTACAAAAACCAGATCCAACACTGTGGGACAAATACTGCAGTTGAGAAAGAGCAACATCCTTGCCTGATTTTTATTACAGCAGAGAGGTTTGTGGGAGAAGCAAACGGTGCTTTCCATCAGGATTTGGCCAAGACGTGCAAGAATGAATGGTTGCAAAATGGGTAAGGAAAGAACCACGAAAAATATCCTTCCAGCAAATCTGGGTAAAAAAAAGGGCTTGTAGGTACAAGACAGACAAACCAACAGGGCTGCCCCTGGCGACGGCAGAAATTCCAGGGTTTTAAATTCCGAGTTACGGTGCCTGTCTGGGTTATAAAAGCAGCTTGATGTTTCTGTAAAAAACACTTCAGTTGCTTGTAAGACCTGCTGGGCTGCAGTAAGTGAGGGGAGCTCCCAGCCCTGTTACCTGCAGAGGCTGCACAGCCGGGTGGGGGCTGCGGACGCTGGAGGCGTATTTGTACGGAGGGACAGCGCGGGGAGCCGGGGCAGCCACGGCAGCACGAGGGGCCAGAGTCTGCCCTGCTGTGCCCACACCTGCAAAAGGAGAGGAGGAGAGAATCACTAACGTCTGTAACAAGGTGCAAGTCAGCTGGGATGTCTGATGGGAACTGCTGAATTCAGACTGTGCCCTGCACAGTGGATTGATTCTTCAGAAAACAAGTCTCCAAAATGCGAATGGATACTTTAGGCAGGGGCTGCTCTCCTAAAACTAAACCCAAAGGTATTTTCTAGATATTCACTGAGTTTGGATGATCTATTCTGAAAAAGATCCATCACCTCTGGAGCCCTCAGCACAAGGAGGACTTGAACCTGTTGGAGCAGACCCAGAGGAAGTCACAAAAATGACACAAGGGCTGGAATCCCTCTGCAGTGAGGCCAGGCTGAGAGAGTTGGGCTTGTTCAGCCTGGAGAAGAGAAGGCTCCAGGGAGACCTTCCGGGGGCCTTTCAGTACTTAAAGGGGCCTGTCAGAAAGATGGGGATAGACTATTTAGCAGGGCCTACTGCAACAGGACAAGGAGGGATGGTTTTAAACTAAAAGAAAGGAGATTCAGACTAGAGGAATGGAGAAATTGTTTCCACTGAGGGTGGTGAGCCCCTGGCCCAGGCTGCCCAGAGAGGTGGTCACTGCCCCATCCCTGGAACCATCCCAGGGGAGGTTGGCCAGGGCTCTGAGCAACCTGCTCTAGTTGCAGATGTCCCTGCTCCATGCAGAAGGGTTGGACTAGACAACCTTGAACGGTCCCTTCAATCCAAACCATTCTGTGATTCTGTGAACCTACAGAGCCTTTTTTTTTTTTGAGTGGTCAATGTCACAGAGGTGTAGAGATGAGTTCCAAACCAATGTAAAACAACCCATCTGGATTTCCACTGCTATGCTGTAGCACCAACTGTCCCCAGGCCTGCACCACACAGCAAGGAACAGGGAAGATTCAGGTGCTGTCTCTGCCCCTTGCTCCAGGTGGCCTTTGGTTATCCCTATCTGACAACCATCTCTGGAAGCAGAAAATGACAAAGTCTCAAGAGCATCCTCCTCCCTCCCAGAGCAGGGGCAGAGCCTGGGAGGCAGACACTTACCAACTCGCTGGGCAGTGGCTGGGAGGCCACGAGAGGCTGGAGCATTGCTGGCAGGGGCCAGGTGACGCAGTGCTGGCCGTGGCCCAGACTGCCTCATGGCATTGGGCATCCCCTGGAAGCCTAAGGGAAGAAACAAGGGGAAACCCTCAAAACACAATCAAGTGACAAGGCAGGACAGCCAGCTACAGGAAGGAGGTTGGGGTTGTGCCCAGAAAGGAAAGGATGAGCTAAACTGGTTGAAGTGCAGCCAAAAGGGATGCTCAAAACCAGTATATTCCCCATACGACCCAAATATCTCCAGCATGCTCACCTTGAGGTCTTCCCCCTTGCTGCCAGCGTGGGTTGGGTCTCATCTGTGTCATCTGATTGGGTGCATAGTAAGTGGGTCTGCTCTGAGCCTGAAGACAGATCATAGAATCATTAAGGTGATGTCCAAGATCACCAAGGTCAAGTGCCTAAGATCAGACAAGCTCAGAGGCAACATCTAAGTGAATAAGAAACATTGTTTACCACACGTCTTGGAAGTTGTTGCCAGGACTCCACACTCCATTCACATTAAGAGAACAGTCAGATGACAAGTCACAGGACTCCCTCCACTCCTCCCTTAGGGAGTTATTTGCTTATAGGTGTAAGAAAAGCTCAGTGACACCACTGCAGCCGAACCATCAAAGCTCCAAGGTTAAGCACTCTGCTCACCTGGGGCATGGCAGGCATGAAATACCCGCCAGCAGCAGGCTGGAACTGGTTGATGATGGTGTTGGCAGGCAGGGCTCTCATCCCAGCGATGCGCTGCATGTACTGGTTGGTCAGATGGGCCTTTCTCTCCTCCTTCCTCTGGGCCAGCGCCACGTAGAGCGGCTTGGAGCCCACGATCCGCCCGTTCATCTCCGTCACGGCCTTGGTGGCTTCCTCTGGAGAGGAAAAGCAGACAAAGCCAAACCCTTTGCTCCGGCCATCTTCCAGCATCACCTGCAGTAAAGATCAATTGCTTGGTGGTGGAGCACCGTCACAAGGACCTAGCCTCAGAATCCATTTAACACGTCAGATTTCAGGCAGGCAGGATGGAAGTGTTGCAGAGGTGTAGAGACAGGTATTCGGTGAAGGAAAAGTCACCTGTCTGGATTCACTCTGCTGTTCTCTAAGCACCATGTGTCCCCAAGCCCACACTGCACAGGAAGGAATGGGAAAGATTTGGTGCAGCCCCTAAATGCTGTCAATTTTCCACTGGAAAATGACATTTCATGCTTAGTGGGAGTCACCCCCAACAAGCACATTTCCCACGTCCTGCCTCCTCTTTTGATGAGGGAATGAAGCAATTTTCAATAATATCCCACTGACACCCAAAGAAATGAGTATTTACTAGTGCAAATGTTGTCACAACCACAATGACTAGAGGACATAAAAACTACTCTTCAATCCCATGTTAGATAACTCCTCCTTCTTCAAGCTTTAGAACCCAAATGCCCCCAAACCCCACAATACCTTGGCACTTGTTATTGACCCAAAAGGTGAAAACTCCTTCCTCAGTTTCTCATCATCTATAGTGTCATCTAGGTTTTTAATGTATAGGTTAACACCCTAGGAGGGAGAGAAGAAGGCATTCATAACATTGAAGAAAATCTTAAAGGACATTGACTGTTAGTATCCTCCTGCCAGAGCTGCAATTTATCTGAAAACTTTTAATTCAGCAAAACATTCCTTTCATACCACCCAAAGCTGAAGGCAATACATGTTGCAAAGGTGTAGAGACAAGTCCCACTGTGGTGAAAGGGATCTTGTCTGGATTTCCTCTGCTCTCCTCTTGCATCGTGTGTGTCTCCAGTCCAGCACTTACATCACAAGGAGTGGGGAAGATCCAGATGCAATCTCTGACATGACCCAGTTTGGCCACAAATGAGAGAGAACAACATAGGTGTTCTGCTGCCCCTCTCCATCCTTCTGGGTAGCCCCACCTGAAAGTCCAGGAGACTGCGCGACTTTCTTCACGTCCTCCAAAACACTTCTATTGCCAAGACTACGCCTTGATGGCCCCTTTGCCCCCAAAGACTACAGTCACCTTTAGATTAACTCCCAGATCTCCCACAGGACAGTGACTGACTGGTGCTCCAGTCCAAAGGAGCAGACTATTCACCTGGTACCGGCTGAGTCTCTCCTGTTTCAGCTGCTCAAACTTCCGCTTCAGCTCCGCCTGCCGCTCCACCTTCTTCTGGGCTCGGCCCACAAAGACCATCTTCCCATTGATGTCCTTCCCATTCATTTCTTCTACTGCCTGCACAGAGGGTTCAAGAGGAAAACGTCAACTGCTGGACCAAGACAGCACCTGATCCTGTTAACAACAGGACTCTCCAAAGCTCACACTGTCTCTCTGCCTGGTAGCCAAGAAACCAAGGCTGCTCCGTTACCTCTGCACTGCTTCTGTGTGACAACAGAATTAAAGATAAACTGAAGTGACCAGGAGAGATCATGCTGCCAGCACCACTCTAAGTGCTGGACCAGGTTTGTGAGTTTATCCCCACCCCTTCTTGCAATTAAGCCAAATTTTAACAAGCTTTCTGCTTGGAGATCATTGCTAAGCAACATTCTCATTCTAAACACCTTCCTCCTTAAGCCCTGCAGCGTAGTATTTCTTCAGCAATTAACCTTCTTGATTATACCACAGCATTCTATGTGGATCTAGTAATCCACAGAAATGCCAAGCTACCCTCAAATGTCAAACTAGTGAGGTGCAAAAGGTTTCCAAGTTCCCACGTCTACCAGAGGTTATGCCCTGGGCAGAATTCTCCCTCATTTCAGTAACAGGCTCCTATGATACATCAAGAACGTTCTTCTTCTCTGAAGATACCCAAGCAGCATAAAAATTGGTCATACCTTGTTAGCATCTTCATGTTTTTCAAAGCTTACAAAGCCAAAGCCTTTGGATTTTCCAGTGGGGTCTGTCATCACTTTAACACTCAGAGTTTTTCCTGCCACCAAGGGACAGGGTTAGTAAAAGATCATAAAACTACCTGAAGACTATTAAACTCCACCTAACAGCCCCAGCCCTCCCTCTCTCAGCTGCTGGTCAGCCTCTGTCTCCTGTCCCAGACTTGGCACCACTACTACACACACCTCAACTCTTTGTATCCCTCAGCCTCAGAGTGACCCACGTAAACTGTTCAACTGCCATGGGTCATGAAATTCACAGCCTCCATCAAAGTGCTTCTGTATTTACCATATTTGCTGAAGAGTTCCTTTAGTCTTTCGTCATCCATGTCATCCCCAAAGTTTTTAATGTAAACATTGGTGAATTCCTTTGCCTTGGCTCCCAACTCGGCCTCCCGCTCTTTCCGAGACTTGAATCTCCCAACAAATCTGTAAGAAAGAACAAAACTCTCAATAAACGTTTTGGTTTTAAGTGGGAAAAACAACGTGTGACTTACAGCAAGGCAAAAAATGAGTGTGTAGGAGGAACTGGGAATGGGGACAAGAAAGGGCTGACAGCAGAAGAGGACAAAGACCACAGACCAACCAGAAAAATCACCTGTCCTACGGTCAGCCAAGGATGCCCAACCCAGCTCTGCAGTGGAGAGTCCTGGCCACAGAAGCCCACCCCAGCCCGCTAGCAGAGAGGTGGCAAATCAAGGCTTGGTTAGGGAAACCCCACCAGCCCTGTGATGGAGGGGGAGCAGGCCATGGCTTGGGCAGGGTCACTCACCAGCCCTGGAGTGGAGAGGTAGCAGGCCAAGGCTCGGGCCAGGAGAACCAGTGCCTTGTGTGTCCCTGTTAATAGCGGGCTGCGCCAGGGCCCGTGCGGTCGCTGCTGCCGCCGGCTGTGACACTCACACTTTGCGGTCGTTGAGCAGCATGCCGTTCATCTTCTCGATGGCTCTATCTGCAGCATCCTGGGTCTCAAAGTGCACAAAGGCGTAGCCCTTAGAGCCATTCTCATCGCACACCACCTGGATGGGGGGGAGGAAACCAGCCAACGTCAGCTCTCTGAATGTTTCCTCCTCCGGCACCCTCAGACAGAAGGCCGGCAAGTGAAAACATGGTTCTGCCAAGGGGCAGCACTAGGGAGACATTATCTCAGTTTCAGGTTTGCACACCTGATGACCCAATCTGACATAACTTCAGCATAGGAGGTTCAAGGTGAATATCAGGAAAAATTTTTTTACTGTGAAGGTGACAGAGCACTGGAACAGGCTGCCCAGAGAGGTTGTGGAGTCTCCTTCACTGGAGTCATTCAAAACCCGCCTGGACGCCTTCCTGTGTGATGTACTCTAGGTGGTCCTGCTCTGGCAGGGGGGTTGGACTAGATGATCTTTCGAGGTCCCTTCCAACCCCTATGATTCTATGATTCCTGACCTTTTGGTCAACTCTGCCTTTCAGAGACTCCACTCCTCCCTCACTGAAGTGTCCCTTTCGCGTCCTCTATGTCTGATCACGTCACCACTACAACACAACTGGACAAAGTAACCACATCTCACCTTGCAGGATAAAATATTCCCAAACGCTGAGAACGTGTCATAAAGTGCCTTGTTATCAATGGATTTGTCCAGGTTCTTAATGAAGACATTCCCAACCCCTGACTTCCTCAAGGAGGGGTCCCTCTGAGACCACATGATGCGAATGGGTTTTCCTTTGATCACATCAAAATTCATGGTATCTAGAGCACGCTCAGCTGCAAGAGAAGTCAAGAACAGATTCCTGTGGTTTGTTAAGGAATTAAAAGTTTCCATCTTGTGGGTGATCGTTTTCTCTGAATTTTTACTCAGCTCCTGGAGACATTTGGGGTAATATCAAGTGCAACTAATTCCAATTACTTTTTAACTTCATGTTTAAGGGAGGTCTTTGCAGCAGTCATTAGATGTGTTTAAGTCCATAACAGATTTAACAGACTATTTTAAATTAAATTATAATGTGTTAACAAACACAGTAAAATGAATATCAAAACACCTGGGGTTTGTTAGTTATATTCTTAATTACTATAAAGAAAATTGCTCCACCCAAAGGAGGAAAGGAAATAAAGGTAACCCTGAGGAAAAAAGGGATGTAACAAAAGTGGCTGTTTGGGTTGTTTGCTCTTCATAAAGCTCCCATCTACTCGGATTCATTTCTATTAAGAGAAAAGGATCATCTCCCTGCCAGGTCAGGGAAAATGTGCACAGACACGTGGCTGGCTGGGAAGAGGACATGAGTCAGCCTCTACAACTTCTGTGGCCAAAAAATAATTGCCAAGTTGCTCAATCTGAAGATGATAGCAAGAGCAGACAAAACTCTGGGGGGAAAAAAGTCCATATACCTGATGTGATTAACAGGGAAGTGTTTAGACAAACTCTAAACCCCCAGCACTGTCATTCTAACCCACGCTGAAATCCCCTCCACGATTCTATTTCTGCTGCCTACTGATGTATTAAAAGGATCATTACGTACACACATTAGGATCTTGTTCATAAAATGGAGATGCTTGGGACTCTCCTGTGCCAGAAAACACTCCCAGCATGGAGTGAGCAGGGGAAAAAGAAAGACTGTTAATTCCCAGCGTGAAGCAGGAAAAAAGCATTAAAATCAAGGAATATTAATAGGGCAGAACTCAAGTTTTGAAAATTTGTTTGGCTCAGTTTTTCCAGACCACTTTCACCCAGTGGTATTTCCTGATTAGGCTTAGGGAGCAGCAGATTCAAAGCAGATGCCAATTCAAACACCTTTTTTCATGTGATTTTGCTAATGCTGCCAGACCACTACTCAGCATTTCACAGAACTGCCTCTAGAAACTCCAACAGGGCACTGCCTACAAAGTCTCCTGCACTCCCCCTCCAAACTCAGGGTCAACTACTGCATGAAAATTTCTCAGAATTTTTCATGTGCTCTGAAATGTTCGTTGTTGCTTTTTCAATTGAAGTGGTGCCATCACTGTTTCCCCCAGTCCCTCTCACAGATCCATTTGGGAAACAAGCTCTGCTGGACTTTGTTCCTGGAACAGTCAGGCTTGATAAAAGAAATTAAGGAGGAAAGTTATACTTGCTAGGGCTCTACTACCTCTGTTTAGTCAGGGGTGTTAAATGCAACTAATGGCCACACTAAAATGATTCCTCAGCTGCTACTGTGAATCACTGCAACTGCAGTTCTCCCTCCAATCCATTCCTAGTAGGCACTTCAGCAGGCGACTTGGTCCAGCCTGTCAAATTTGGCAGTGTATATTTATAGCAGGGAGAGGTCCTGCAGAAGCATGTGTTGGCAAGGACACAAACTAGCTGTATATACCATTTGCAGCAGAAACAGGGTTCCTGCTGAGAGGTGACAAGCAGATGAAGGCATGGCAGGCAACCCGAGGGAACTGTGAAACACTCTGCAGCAGCTATGGAGATAGCAACTCCTTATGAACTTACTCCCAGTTCTTTCAAGTTTCCTAAGCAGACACTATGGCACTACTTCTTCCAATAGTTTCCTAGTGTTCCACTCTATTATTATACTCTGCCTGAAATTCAGACACTTGCAAACAGTGGTATAAGCAAGTCCTGGGTGGATTCCCTGGTCTGAGGAAGGGCTGCCCTCCCCACGGGTGCAAATGCAGTCACAGTACACCAGCACCTAAGAAAACCTGTAAAGGATCAGCATGAGTTATGTGAATGACTCAGACTAAGCTCATCTGAATCACTTCCTTAATCTGAGCAAACACCTTCTCATTTTCTTCTATTTAAGCTACAAAGCTTCAGCCATTTCAGTTCCTGTATCTGTTTCTCTCCCACTGGTTCCTGTCATCCTTCCAGCAGACTCAACTGCAACTCATCTATAACATTATACACACTCTTAGCCCCTTTTAGGCTTCCTTTTCATTCCCCTTCCATAGCCTTCTAGCTAGGGAAAGCACAGGAACACTGCTTGCAGTTTGCCTCAGGCCTCTAAGTAATTAATCTCCCTTACAGGCTCGCTGATGCAGAGCTAACACAATGCTGGAATTAGCCACTGTGGTTGAGCAGCATGAAGGCAGATAACCACACACACCAACATTCACCCAGGAGAAACTCAGCACGAGGAGTTTTATGCTGCAAAGATGGCTGCTCTGCAAACCTCCACGCTCTCACTTGTGTCCCTAACCAAAAAAGACAACAAAAGCACACAACACAAGTTTAACCACTTTTTTTTTAAAAAAAAAAAAAGGTTGCATACAAAACAGACTCCAATTCCTTTGTTGCTGAAGTTAGAACAAAATGTTGTTAGCAATGAAGCCTAGAAGGAACCACTCTTCCCTTTTAACTTCACACCTGCATTTATGTTATGGGTCTTCTCTTTAAGGAAGAGACAAAAGTTTATCTGTATTCTTCTGCACCTTGCTTCAAAGACTTTTCTAATCCCAGCTCTGGGGTCCTTCTTGAAATGTTCTCTTCTCCCCATACTTCCAGAATAGCTCATCTCTATAGCTCTATTAAAAGTTTTTCTGCTTCATTATCTCACTTCTCATGTCATGACTGTCAATGTTAGGAAATGGTGGAATGCAATTAAATTATATGAGGTACATACAAAAATGGAAATTCATCTTTCAAATGAAATGAGTTTGTTTTCTTTCCCTTCTTCACAGTCATAAAGAATAAATATTCACAACCACAGCTGAGCCTGAACCAGGCAGAACTTTGAAGCATTTCCTTAATCTGCCTATCACAGTGTAACAGATTCAGGATTCAGGATTCACTAGTTAACACCAAAGAACTGCAATCAAAACAGCAGAGCTTATTTCCACTATAAATAACCCTTCTGCAACAGGCTACCAGTTAGACAGTGAATATCCAGAAACTAACCCCTTGCAGGGTCAAGCATCACTCCATTTACTGATAAAAGTGTAAAGAAAAATGCAAGCTTTGAACCAATTTGGACACAGGAGCTCTGGTAGTACAGACAAGATTCAGAGTGTGAGCACCAGCTCCTGGTGACCCCACATGACAGCAAAGAGGTGCCCAGGAGAACTTCCCTAAAAGTTTACAGAGCACAAAGCTTCCTGAGGACTTGAAGTGGTGTTTTGTAGCACCTACTATCACCCATCAATGGAAACAGATCCCTCCAGTGCTACACAATACCCCTCATCTTTTCAGGTTTAGTAAAATGAAGTCCAAAGGCATTTCTGACTGGGCACTCCAGGAGGAAAATCCAGATCCCTGCTTCTCTCAGAGAGCCCTGGTGCATGCAGCACTGAGCCCTGTCTCATTGCAAACAATCCCAATTTCTGCATTTGACAATAAAAATTACACTCCTCCTATACAAACCTATTTCAGAGAGGCTGCAACACAGCAAGCAAAACAGGCTCACCTTTCCAAAATCATCTACCTTCTGCTGCATTACATTTCTTACAGCAGCAGGTTTTCACTTATGCAAAGTAACAGATGCTGCAGTGTACCAGACAGAAAAAAATAAGAAAAGAGATCTCCTCAGGAGGAGTTTGGATATTTCTCCTTCCTGTATTAACCCAAAGATTAAGTTTAAATCACTTGACCTTCTAAGACCTACCAGTAACAAGACACCACTCACTTCGGCAAAGTATCACTTGAAGTACTGAGACTTCCTAAAATGTCTGCTGCCTCACCAGGAGCCCAGAATGATGCAACCTCCCTCTAAATACCTGCCTATTTATCACCATAAAAGATTACCTTGAAGTACATTGGAGCAGAACTTCTTTCTGCTAAAGCAGGAACACGTGATGAGCCACTCTTCCCTTTTAACATCAAAATTACACCTTATCTAGGTCTTCTCTGCTTTAAGAGAACTCTATCTAGAGACTTTTTCACCTCATCTCCCTGACATTTACCTAATCTGAGCTCTGAGTTGCTTCTTGGCTTTATCTCTGTTTTTATTTATCCTGCAAAATGAGATCACAGCCAGCAGGTGAGCCTGGGCAATGTACCAGTGCCTGTACAGCACATGAACACCCCAAGGTGGTTTTACCAGAGAGATTCAGAGTAGACAGGTTCACCAGAGCAGGAGAGGACCACATACAGGCTCTCTTCTTCTCACTGAGAAGTTTTATAACACAAATGCATCGTTCAGTCTGCACCAAAAGCACTTCTGAGAGTCCCATGAATGAGAAGTTATGCACTGGGGTGCAAGGCAGCTTTTTATCAGCCTGGGAAGAGGAAGGATCAGAAGAGCTTGATCAGAACAGCCAACATCCCAAGGAAAGGACATGCAGAAGCTACTCTGACCTGGCAGGGGATGGAAGCCAGGATGGCACAGTCACAACAGACCACAAAATCCAAACATTGAGCCAAGAGCTCAAACCCAGAGGCTCCACTGGCTTGGGGGAATTTAATTTTGGAATAACGTTTCTGTCCTCTAAATACTTTGATCCAAAATCAACATATTACCCGTGCAAACAGACCACTCTCTGCTGTCTGTAAAAATGTAAAGCAGGATAACCTACTCCAGGCTAAAAGGAAGTCTACTTGCTGCTGAAGTCTGTGCTGCTGTAAAATGATTCTGAATTCAGGGGAAAAGTTCACTCCTCTATCGTTCAGATATCTCTGCTGCATAGATACTGCTAAATGACAGCACAGAGCAATAAACCTCCACCAGTCAACAAGCAAAGGCTCCAAAAACTAGGGCAGAAAACGCTGACCCATTTTTCTTCCAGCAAAGACCTGTTCCAAAATGACCTCTTCTGTCCCATCTTTCACATGCATCAGCTCTGGGATATCTACATGAGCAGGAATCAAATTAAAGGATGAAAAAAGAAAAGTCTGGCAAGAGCAAATCAACACAGCTTCTGCATGTGGGACAACCCAATTTCCCATGCATTGAACAATGCACCTTCCCCCTCATTAACTCAAGAACACCACTTCCCAGGCTGGGAGACCCATGTGGCTGCCTGCACAAACACAGCAACCTGTGCTCCACCAGAACTCCCAAATATTAAACTGGGGTGAGGGGGCAGCCAAGGCTCAGCGGGTCAAACTGAGCACTCAGCCCGGGCTGACTACTCTGAACTCTGTCAGGACTCGCTGCTCAAAGACCCACAAAAAGAGCACAAACCTACAGGGGAATGAAGGGGAACACAGGGGAAAACACTCTCTTATGCAAGGAGCAAACCCAACTCTCCAAAGTTTAGTACAAGTAAGAGGAAAACAAATCTACCTCTCAGAGATGGTACCAGATGTGTATTTGTGCAGTTTATGGGAGATAGTGAGTTGTAAAAACTATTCCAGCTTCACTATCACCAGCAAGTGATTACTTACCTTGTAACTAACACTTCGTAGGCAGCTACGTAACAATATGCACCCGCAGAGAAGCAGATTTGTGGGAAAAAAGTCAACAAAAGTGAATTTAAAAAGCCTTAATGTGGTCGAGCATGTCACTTACCATCTGCTGGCTGCTGGAAGTTGACGTAGGCATACCCGAGGGACCTGCGGGTGATCATATCCCTGCAGACCCGAATGGAGAGGACGGGCCCAGCAGGGCTGAACTTCTCGTAGAGCATGGCCTCGGTGACATCGGGGTGCAGGTCACCCACGTACAGCGATGCCATCGGGTAACTGCTGGCAGCCGCATTCATCTTCTGCCCAGCACGCGCTCGCACCCAGAACTAAAAGGGGTTTTATTCTGGGGGTTTAAGTCAAGCTTTTCGTAAATAAATAAACGGTGGGAAAGCTTAAAATCTTATTTAAAAGCCTCACTAAGCCAAAAACCTGCAAAAACCGCCTGGGAGGGGGGGGGGGGCGGGCAGGTCGGGTAACTGCTGGCAGCCGCATTCATCTTCTGCCCAGCACGCGCTCGCACCCAGAACTAAAAGGGGTTTTATTCTGGGGGTTTAAGTCAAGCTTTTCGTAAATAAATAAACGGTGGGAAAGCTTAAAATCTTATTTAAAAGCCTCACTAAGCCAAAAACCTGCAAAAACCGCCTGGGAGGGGGGGGGGGGCGGGCAGGGAGCCTGCAGCGGCACATACGGCAGAGACAGCTGCTGAAAGGGGAGGAAAAAGCCTGAAATCAGAGGAAAAAAAATCCCCAAAGTTAAGCGTCCAGTAAAGCGGAGCTCGGATACGAAGCTAAAATTCATACGCCAGCTGCTGAGCGTTTCTCCCGTCGGCTCTGGGGCAAAGCCCAACTCGAGCTCCCTAAAGCCACGGCCCTTATTTTGCTTTAAGAGCCTGATTTATCTCCGGTTCTCCAGCGTGGAGGCCGCTCGAGTTTCTAAGGTGCAAAAATAACCAAAAATAGTAAAAATTATCGTCTCTGTAATATATAGTTATAAGAAGCTTTCTTTAAAATTAACTCTTTTTCTGCTAGGTTTA